ATATATATATATATATATATATATATATATATATATATATATACTTTTTTATTTATTTATTTATTTATCCTTCTGAAGTTAAATTATCAAGACGCTTTAATTATCGGTGTCAACTTAGTTATAAATCTTTCAATTATTAATTAAAAAAAGAAATTGATTGTACTAGTGGAAAGAAGTTTTGATTTAGTGACATCAAATAAACGCATTGTTGATGAGTGCTGTATGAATTTCATTGTTGTTTCAGATACAATGTTATCTTCATGATACTGACGTATTTTTTACCGATCGGATCCATGACATTCACGTACGCCAGAGTCGGTGTGGAATTGTGGGGCTCACAAAGTATCGGAGAAGCTACGGCAAGACAGCTTGAGAATATTCGGAACAAACGAAGGGTACGTATCGCGCATAAAACAATATAATATCTGCATAGACGCAGAAATTACTTTCGTTCTGTGATCGAGAGATGATTGTAAACAGGAAAACGTGCAAGTATTTATGTGATAAACTCTACTCTGCTTTATTCAGTAAAATCATATAGCAGTAATATTTAGCAGTAAAAAGCGATAGTAAATTATTTACTATTCATAAAGGGAATATTAATAAACTTCGCACGTCAAACATAAGATGAAATCTAATATACGATTTTTAAGCTTAAAATTACTTAGGTAAATATAATATAACGTTATAAACTCTTATTTATAAACGAAATAATTAAATAATTTCACGTGCACCTCTTATTCCGTGATTCATGAAACTCCCGAATTAAAATCGATATACGAGAGAGAACTTTGTCCTAATTAATTAACTTTTAACACTTTCCGTTCTAATCTTCTGTTTTCTACAGCTGTGAAAAAACGATAAAAACACGACTCCCGAATACTAAATAACTCTTACAGATATTTTTATACACAACAATACCGTCATCGAAATATCTAATTTTGACACTGTTGATACATCGTTATGAGTGATTATCTCGCTTGTAATAATACAACATAGATTGAGGTTGATAAATAATGTTATACATTATTGACACATATTATCTTCCAGTAAAGGACCAGAATGGCGATAAGCCAGAGAGACAGGTGTACATAAATTTAGCAACAAATTGATTGACTAATTTTTAAAACTTGCGTTCTTTATAAATGATTCATATAGTATTTATATTTATTATAAAATATATAGTACTTATATTTATTATAAAATATGTAGTAACTAACAGTAAGATTTGAAAAGGCACATAAGGAGCAAGCACGAATGTCTTAGTGCTATTAAATACTAATTACTTTTTAATATTAATATGATAGTGGGAGGATAAAATTGTCCAGCATGTTAAACGCACGTATCGAAATTTTTCTTCGATTATCGTACGCGGAGAATCAACCTTCCATACTTAGACCGATCCTTGAATCCCAATTTTTATATATATATATTTTTTTTAAATTCCCAAACCCCATTAAACTGATGACTCAAATAGATTCATTATATATGTTACGAAAAAACTGCCTCCGCCAGGACTCGAACCTGGAACCTCCCCATTTTCTGGGCGGGACGCCTTTCCATTCGGCTACCGAGGCTTCGACAATAATCCTGAAACACAATGTTTATAAATCTATTTGAGTCATCGGTTTAATGGGATTTGGGAATTTTAAAAAATGAGGGGAGGGGAATTTTAAAAAACCTAATCCTAACCTACCCATCTATGACATCTATAATATGACATCTATAATATGACAAACAGCATACGTATACGCGCAAACAGTATATGCTTGTTTTTTATTATGTTTCAATAGATGAGTTAAGTTAAAGTTAGGTTTTTGGGGAGAGTGTGCGCGGAAAGGACGAAGCCCCTCCCCCGCGCATATACGTATACTGTTTACCATATTTCAATGTATATTGTATACCAAAATTATTTTCCGTTAATAAAACTTTTTTTGTTAATAATTGTTTAATAAATAACGAGCTACGGCTAAAACCTTTTGCGTGTTACTCAGGACGATGACCTTAACAACATATGTCAAGATCAAGGTCATCGGATGATCTCCCTAAAGTGAACATTCACCCTTGCTTGATACTATTTTTTATTTAATTGTGATATGGTAGCTAAATTCCATTAATTAACGGATTTATATTAAGCACTCAAAAATACGTCTGAAATGTTCACACTCATCGAAGGGACATCGTACAAAGCAATCATATTGATGATATGCGCATACAACTAATATGAATATTTATGAAGAATATTTCTTCTTCCAACTATATTTAGGAAACGAAAGATCGCAACGCAGTGGAACAAATTACGTTTTAAAGCTACAAGTTTATATTTTCATGTAAGATTAACAGAATTTAGCAAAACAATTTGCTGCGGATGCTACAACACTATGAAAACCCTCAAAATTGTCGTTTTTGGCCTCTTTGCCGCCATTTTTCTCAAAATTATGATGTGATAACCAAATCTGGACAACGGATTCGTGTTCAGCAGGCAAAAATCTATAAAAATCACCTACTCTCATTACATCCGCAGAAAAAAGCTCGATTTTCGCAGGCTAGTGTAATTATTCAGCTAATATAAATTTCTGTTTCCATTTCAGATCGTAAAAATGATGATAGTCGTAGTAGTAATATTTGCAGTATGCTGGCTTCCGTTCCATATGTACTTCATAGTGACGTCCTATCTACCAGAGATTACGACTAAACCATATATTCAGGAGGTCTTCTTGGGCATTTACTGGTTAGCGATGTCCAACAGCATGTACAATCCTATCATTTATTGTTGGATGAATACTAGGTAAAACTTTTGCTCTTTTACATACGCGCTCACACCACACACGCACACACACACACACACACACACACACACACACACACACACACACACACACACACACACACACAC